TGACTTTGGTATGTTTATACGTTGCCCAGGTCCCACCAGTGCCTTAATACAGCACTGACTTTGGTATGTTTATACGTTGCCCAGGTCCCACCAGTGCCTTAATACAGCACTGACTGTGGTATGTTTATACGTTGCGCAGGTCCCACCAGTGCCTTAATACAGCACTGACTCTTATATATTTATTCTTTGTAGTCGTAAAGCGCTAACGCAGCCAACCATCAAATAGAGTGACAAGTTACCACGATACCAGAGCCCTCTGTATTCAGTTTATTTTAAAAGATTATGTTTATTTCTTTAGTCATTTTAAACACGTGTTGACATTTGGAAACATTATCATTCATACATTTATATACAATAAAATCACAATATAATTTTGCGTCTTAAAATTCATATATTATACATGTATGTACGCATAAACACCCACTCACACTTTTTTTCTTTTTAGTTGAACATTTATAGCTACGTATATACAGGTTATGAAGTATGAATATTTGGCATAGCTTGTAGGCGAACCGTGTAACTCGTTTTGCTTATATACAAAAGAGATCTTGAGTGAAATAATCTTCTGGCTTCTGGAAATGACACTAGGGGCGCCACTGTAGCGATTGTCTGACATTCCTGCATCGTATTCATGGCACTGGATATTTGCACGAATTTCAGTTGCAATGGCAGCCTTCAGATGAGAAATGTTTGGGTTATGGCGACAATCATTAGTCAGCAGTGATGAATGGGGCCAGGGGTGATGAAAATGACCGATTTTTTATAGAAAAGTTGCGTGGCGCCTTCAGTGCCAATTCCACGACTGGTGGAATGTAGCACCGTGATTCTTTATTCATGTACTCAAAATATTTCTTTCGTATATTACACATTATAAGAAGTTATCAGTGAAAATGAAGAACAATTTAATGTGTCAACCACAACATATCCAGTGCTGACGAGGCCTTTCGCCCAGTAACAGGGCGCATCAAGCCGGTATAATCACGTATCTGAGACTGTAACTTAATTCCAACACTTCAAAAACTTAAAATATATATATATATAACAAGTTATTCAGTTTAGACCCCAAATCTAGTGTCTTTCATTACCAAACATTCAGAGTGTCGGAGAACATTGGCTCTTTGTGATCCACGTGTCCACTGGTAGAGCTCTCTCAGACAGCAGAGCACACTGTCACTCTCCTTCAGGAGCTGGCATTAGGCACCTTGCAAACGCACCGGCTCAAGAACAAGTAGTATCGGAGCTTTAAAGTGATTTTTATCATGTGTAACGCGGTTATTAAGACACATGAATATGGTATTAAAACACCCAGTAAAATACGTTCTGCGGTTATACTGTTTATTAAAATATAAACATTTTCAAAAGGCTTATTTTTTACATAATGTACAACGAAACTCGCTTTTTTTTTTGTTATTCGTATAGGGAGGACCGATGTGCAAAGCATTATAAAAGACAAAGGTGTTAATATTGTAGTGGAGTTAAATATATTGCAAATTAATAAGATATGAGTTTTAAAACTTGTTTTAATATTAATGATTTTTATATTGTACTTTTGTTCTTTTTTTTTTCCTATCTCTGCTTAAATTTAAAAAGTAATTCTGTGTTTTCTCTCGGTAATACATGTGTATTCAATTGAGTATTAATGTACGTTTTCTCAAATAACTAATGCAGCATATATTTTGTTTGTTTGAAATGGTCTCACAAAATGGAAATTAGGCTTAGAATACGAGATCTTCACCCTGATGGTGACGTCACACTTTAAAACTTAGCCTTAAACCACTGGCCCGGCATGGCCAGGTGGTTAAGGCACTCGACTCGCAATCTGAGAGTCGCGGGTTCGAATCCCTGTCACACCAAACATGCTCGCCCTTTCAGCCGTGGGGGCGTTATAATGTGACGGTCAATCCCACTATTCGTTGGTAAAAGATTAGCCCAAGAGTTGGCGGTGGGTGGTGATGACTAGCTGCCTTCCCTCTAGTATTACACTGCTAAGTTAGGGACGGCTAGCGCAGATAGCCCTCGTGTAGCTTTGCGCGAAATTCAAAAACAAACAAACATTAAACCACTTGTCGTGATGCCTAAGAGACAAAACAGTCGCATATCTTTCGTATTGTATATTCATTAACCGTTAACACGTGATCGTATATTTTCTCTGCTCGTTAGTTAACCAGAATCATATTACTTATAACAAGCTCGTCATTAGCATGAACTGACGTTTATATCAAAGCTGACAGATCCCTTATCGAACCTCTAGATTTACATGACCTAAGTTGTTCACCCTCTCATCGGTTTCTGACATTTACACACAAGGTAAGATTACACGGTTAACATTATTTACAGCTGTTATCTGTGTTATCAGCATTTCTGTTAGACAAGCACCTGAATTTTTTTGCTACCTAACTACTAATAGCGTATTAGCTGTTTTAAAGCAAGTTAATAGGTTAGAGCAACGTTTCCCAAAAGTGTGGAAGGTGCGTCCCAGGGGGAGGGGGGCAAATCATCTCTTGGGGGGGGGCGAGCGATTGGGGTAATGAAAATAATTAATTACCACAACACATGCAACATTTTAATGTATAACCGTATGTTACATCGCATCACTTAACTCACTATTTCTCATATTTAGATTTTAAAAAAGAGGGGGACGAAGGCGAGCAAGAAACTATATTTATTAAAAGGGGGGTGTGAATGACAAAAGCTTGGTAAACGCTGGGTTAGAGTTTTTACATCTTTTTTTTTTTTTTTTTTTTTTTTTTATC